GAAAATTTGTTTTGTCGACTATGCTCTCTCTAATGCTTTGTGGTTTTGTGTATGTAATCAACGCGTATTTGTAGTTGTACACTTTTCTTTGTGTTGTTCCACAGGTTCCATTCCACGTAATTAAATGAAAAATTACTTAATAGTCAATTGTTGAAAGTTTAAAGATAAGAGTTGAAAAATAAAAATTAATAGGTTAGGTTAGTTTTTTTTTCTATACATAAGAATTATATATAATCACGTGGTTAGAATTATATATATATTATTTTAAATTTTTATTATTAGATTAATTCTAGTGATTGATTAATAAATTAGTTGATTAAATTAAAATATTTATTAAAATTATTTTATTAACCATTAACACATACACGAATTGATATCTATATATAATTATATGAATATGAATGATGAGTAATTTGATATAAGAAATATGTGAAATGTGAAATTATGAGTTCACGTGGATGTAATGTATTGAGTCTTTTTGACATGCATTATTTGCAAAAAATATGTTTTATGGGATACAATATGTAATATTGTGAGTCGCATTAGTGATATATTACTCCTAGTTATATTATGATGCCAAGTTGAGATATTTGTGTTGAGAGGGCTCATGGGGTCTGAGAATCATTTTAGAGACTCAGTAGTGTTGAGAGGGGGTTCTCTAGGCAGAAACCTAGATTGAACCTAGAGGGAAGAAGTATATAAGATTTTTGTTTTGAATATAGTCTCATAAACTCTTTCCTCCAACTTTCTAGAGAGAGCATTCTAAAGAGAATAATGTCTCTGGTCCGTGAGCTCCCTTTTCTCTCAAATCTTCTTTTCTTCCTCTGAATCTCATTTAAGTTATGTTGTTGTTGGATTCAGGATAAGAGTAGCCAAATTTGTGTGGTTGAGTCGTTAGAGTAGTGTTGTAGAGTCTTGATCATCTTCTCTTTTCTTCTACCTCAGCTTCGAGCTATCGAGGTAAGAGAAGCTAAATTTCTATTTTCTTTGTTGTATTATGGAGTTGTTGGATGATTTTGGTGCTAAATGTGGTTTGGATTTCAAATCAAAATGAATGAATTGATGAAATTGGTGAAGAGAGGTGTGAGGGTTAATGTTGAGTTGAATGAAGGGGGAGATGTGATGATTTGCATATGTGGTTGTTGCATGTTAATTTTTTGTGCATGATTTGAGTTGTTTGAGTTGAGTAGAAGCATTACTCTTTTGTTGCATGTGTTGGATTTATGTTGGATTGTAGGTTGTTGTTGAAAATCAGGTTTTACATATGCAAAATTCTAATGTTGTGCTAGGCACACCTTTAAGGCGCCGGGCATTGTTCTAACTTGAGACTCTCTAACTCGATCATGCCAGATGTAGGATTGGTGGCACAGGGCATTGTCAGAAATAAAAAAATTCTAATCTTGCCCACAGATGGTTTGAATTTCCATTTTGAAAATCTCATTGATTAGGGAATGCTCGGAAACCAGACTAATCTCTAATCAATGGTTTTAGAAAAGGGTTTGTAGGAGTCATCACCGATGTTTTACTTAAAAAATCAGAAAAGAAAAGTTTTTTAGTGGGCCTAGGGACTCGAGAATCCTTCTCTTTAATGTTGACAACCTCTATCAGTATCGTATCATCTAGAATCACCTGGTGGTGGATGGTTGATCCCAACATGTACACCTTACTTATGGCCACCAATTTCTCTAGGATACCCTCAATGTATAATTGCACCTCTAGTGGTGCCTTATCAACATGAGCATCCTCCTCCTTTGATGTGTTATGGGTTGCACAACTTTTTTGTTATGTTGACAACATGAATCCTCATCAATATAAACATCATCCTCCTTCGATCGTCTAACTCTAAATCAATTTGTTCTTTTTGTGTTTGATGTACTTGTATGAACGACATGTCTAACATTTCACCATGTCATGTCCATATTGTGTAGCTTTTAAGGAACTCATCACGCAAACATGCTCTCATATCATGTTTGTTGGTTGCCTTTGCAAATTGGAACAATTTACTCAAGAATAGTAAAACCTTCCATTACTTTTTATAACATTTCTTTGTGCAAGCAGAAGAAACTCTTTAACTTCATTCTCACATTCAGCAGTAGTTGTACATAAACAACTCATCTAATTCCTATTCATTAATGCATTCATTTGACATAAATTGTGTCAACCTCTATTTTTAATACAAGGTGTGGCTCTACCTATTTAGAAAGATAATTCTTTATGTTTGAATAATACATAAAGGTAAAGTCTCATACATTAAATTTGATAAAATTTTGCCAACATTCTACATTGGTCACTAAATACACAAAATGAAAGTAGTGACATCAAATTCACACACAATCAAGTATGTACTTAGATAACAATAAAAAATGATGTTAACCAAAATCTTATCAACTTTAAAATGAGAGTAGTGACATCAAATTCACACAATTCAAGATTCAATATAATGATTATACATTAATTTTATAACCATTATATTCAATTTCAAAGAAGAAACTAAGATTCACTTAAAATCGATCAATATTTCTAACAATTATAATATAACACTTTGAGATAATTAAACATATAATTGTGCTTAGTTAAAACTCATGTATAAAATCAACAATATAATATACACATGTAATTAAGCATGTCAAGACAACAAAAATTAAATTAAAAATAATTAAAGTATTTATTTAATTATTATAAACTTATATTTTAATTAAAAATTTAATTTTTAATATATATCATCTAAATTGACTAATATCACTAATCTTGTATATTTTTAATTTAAATTCTTATTGCCTAACATTGTGTAACTAATAATTTGTATATTATTTAATTATACTAACATAAATTTACTAATTTTAATAAAGGTCTATAATTATGGATACCTAAAAGATATTTAATTGAATGTCCAATATTGTATAGATACCTAAAATGTATTTTAATTTTTAATTTATATCTCAATTATATTATTATGCATGCCCCAAAGGAAACACACATACATATATCTAACTAATTTTCAAATCAATTCTTTACGTGCATACAAAATTCATACACAAATTTTATCAAAATAAGTAATAAAAAAACCCAAAATGAGCAAACAATTAATTAATAAGCAAACCCAAAATGAGAAAACAGGTAATGATAATAATAGGTAGTGAGCAAACCCACATTCAAAATAATATGCTTATTATCCACCGCAAAATCCTAAAAACCATGGAAGAAAGAGAAGTAAAGCCTTGAACTTGTGAGCGTGAAGGAAAACTAAGAAGGTCATTGGACTAAAGGAGAACTACATGAGAAATGGTCGCCCTGGTCATCAGAGTGTTTTGCTCATCAAAACGAGTGGGTAATGTGCATAGAGGAGTCACTAGAAATCACCTTTGTGTCTTCTGTGGAGATAAAGATAAAACAATGGGGCACAAACTTAGTTCGCACTCTTAATGTAAATAATAAGACATTCTATAATGGGTGACAATTTACCTGTCATAGAATGTTTCTTTATATGACGAATAAGTCAACACTCATTATAGAAATGTTAGAATCAAAGGTTAACCAACACATTTTATGGGAGGTGTTGACTTACACGACATAGAAAAAAATTATATGACAGGTAAATCAACACCCATCATAAAATGTTTTGACATATTTACAAGTATGTCATTGTACTACTTTCTATGTCATGTGGATAACATTTAATATAAAAAGTGTGTCAAGAAATTCTCTTTTTTACACTTGTAAACTCTGATTTTTGCTTAAAACACGCTATAAGAGATAAATCAAAATCTTATGTGATTCTTGCATAATGCTTGGTTCAATAGGATAAGGTATTTTCCACCTAAGAGTTGTAATCAAAATTTATTTTAAAATTATACTTCTTGAAACTCCAAGGAAACTTATAGGTAGGGGTGTTCAAATTGTTAAACTAAACTAAACTAAAAGAAAACTAAACTAAACTATAATAAATAGTTCACTAAACTAAATTGAACTAATATAAATATTGACTAAACTAAACTAAACTATTATCTAGATTAGTGCACTATAGTTTTAGGAGTTTGAACTAAACTATAATATCAATTAAATTAAATTATTATTAATTATAAATTAAATTATTATTAATTATAACTAAATTGAACTATATTAAAAAAATAAATTTAAAATCAACATTTTTAAATTGAGCTACCAAATCATTGATATTAATTATAAATTAAATTTAAAATAATTTTTGTAAAACAATGTTAGAATCTGCAGTGCTATTCTGGCTTCTACTTTCTTGTTTATCTTAAACTAATTTGGTTTGTTCAGAAATAAATAAAATTAGAGGTAAATAAAATATGGTTAAAGATTGTTTTCATCAAGGATTTGTTTGAACCTAAGTTTAAAAGTACTTTTTGCTTGCATCCAAACATATATTAATTGTTTTTATATTACTTTTTTCTTCATTTTATCTTAAATTTTAACTACCTATATTTTAAAATTAATTCATATTAACTTTTAAAAAAAATGAGACAGATAAGTTATGTATGTAGAAAAAATTAGCTGTGCAAAAAGTAATTACCTTGCACCAAGCCTTTTCGTCGGTTTTCACCATAAATTGCATCAAATCTAGGCCCAAATTACCCAAAAAAAGAAAAAGGGAAAAAAATAGTAGCAAATTCTTACCCCTTTTTTATCCCAAATTAAAAAAAAAAAAAGAGAAAATGACACTACGACTTTAATACCTCCGTGCTTCCGTGAATGTGCAGTGCTTAAGAGAAAATGATTCTACCACATACATTAATAGTTTTGAACGACGAACCGTAGCCTCCCGTGCTTCCGTAAATGTGCAGTGCTTGTATTTGATTTTAGTAAACTGAACTATTAATTTTAATAGTTTAGTTTTATAAACTATACTAAAAGTAATAGTTTGGTTTAAACTATTAAAAAATAATTTAGTTTATTTTAGTTTAGTTTAGTTTAGTTATTTAAAAAGTTTAGTTTTAAATAGTTTTGTGAACACCCCTACTTATAGGAATAATATATTTAGGATCGAAGAGGATATATAGATAAGCATAAGCACAAATATTTGTTATACAAACTACAAAGATAACCATAGCAAAAGGAAAAAAAAAAATATACAAAGAAAGTTGGTTGTGAACTATAATTGTCTCCACTTATTCCAGTTTCCAAGATCTTTTGAAGGCTATTGTGCATCATTGTACCCCAACACCAAGTCACTAATATAACAAAATTGAAACACTAATATATAACAAAATTGAAACACTAATAACCTGTTGAGAAGATAACAACTTATTGAACCAAATATCAAATAACCTAAGTTTCCCCGTCCCAAAGGTTAGCAACAAATACAACTGGTCCATTGTTGACACGAACTTGATTAATTTGATTAATCTTTTCATGGTCATCTCTTGTAAGTGACCAATCAAATATTTTTAAGTTTTGCTTCATTCTCTCCTTGTTGTAACTCTTCACAGCGATAGTTACGCCTTGTTCATACAACCATCTAAGACATACCTATCACACAAAAGAAATAACATTAATTAACGTCGATTCATCGGTGATTAAAGAATCAAAATCTAATCTACAACTTCGAGTAAAAATGGAGTATTGCAATTGTGACAAATACTAGTCATTTGTTATTTAACACACTTTTGAATATATTCTATACAATTGAGTAAATTTATTGAAAAAATAATTTTTTTTATGCATTCTATTCATATTTAATGTTTCTATCTTAATTTTATAATTTTTTTAATAAACTTTAAACTATAATTAAGTATGTATTAATAAAAGTGTTAAAAAAATTTTCCTATCGATCTCCTCAATGCAACAATGATGGTTTTTATAGTTGTCACCTAACAATTCAAATCATTAATTTAAATAGGCTTAACTATATATATATATATATATTATTTTTCCTTTGTTAACCAGCTTCCATGTACAGACTTTCTTTCCATCCCGTTATTAGTCATAAACCCAATTGAAGATTGAAGTTAATTAGTCAAATTTCCGATTGAATATTGAAGTCAAATAATATTGTCTTTGGTTAATTAGTAGTATTTTCTTATATACATAGAAGGGTGTATTTAATGAGAATGTACAAGATGAGAAGATTAATCACACAAATACATTAAAAAAAAATTTACTTGAATTTAATCTTAATTATTTAATTTATTGTATGCTTAAGATTTATTTACTGATCCGATCTACGTTATATGCTTCTTTTATATATATATATATATAAGAAAAGATAAATTCAGCTAATTGAAAATGAGAAAATCTTGAAATTGTAACCTGAGCAATAGTTCGGCCATGGGCCTCTGCAATTTCCTTGAGTATTTCACTGTCCATGACTACATTGGAACCCCAACTAGCCCCTTTAGCTCCCAGAGGAGAAAATGCAGTTATGATTATACCCTTTGCATCACAGAATTCTTTTAGCTTCTTCTGATGCCAAGCAGGATTCATCTCCACCTATTTGGTGACAGTGTCAAGAAATACAGTATATGGTCAACACTGATGAAGTAAAGTTATGGTTAAATTTCACATTTCATTATTTATAATATCTAATTCGCAATTTTTGTGATATAATTTTTATTCTTAACTAATAATTTAGTCTTGTAATACATAAGTTATATATAAATTATATTTATAAGTTGAATAAATAAATATATAAATTATATTTTATATTTATGATAATAATTTGTATTGTAACATAATTTTAATTTTATGTATTTTAAAAATATTATAATTTAATTCATAAATAATTATGATAAATAAAAATTAAATTAGATATGAATTTAAAGTTATTCATTAAAATATTCATAAAAACACCTTCTCAAAAAATAATTGTTCGTGTTATATATATATATATATGTGTGTGGGGGAGGGGGAGGGTTGATTTTATAAATTTTGTAACTTTAATTCTACTATTCATTGTCAATTTATTATTGTTAAGATTATAATGTTAAGCATAATTATATGTTAAAAAGATATCAAGACAATTAATATTTAATAATATTTAAATTAAATTATTTTTTTAGTCTTTATTTTGATATTATTTTTTTAATCTCTTTTTTATCATTTTTATGGGATAAAAATAAGAAATAAAAATACAATTTAACTGAAAAATTGTTGAATATTAATTATCATAGAATTTATTTAATATCATATCATAATTAATGTTATAATTTTAATAATTAGTAAATGAACATTTAGGAGTACAAATAGATCTGTGAATTTTATAAAATTTAGAAACTAAAAGAGCATAATTAAAAATTATAAGACCAAAATTGAATAATAAAAATTATAGAGATTAAATATATAATTTAGCCTAAAATTAATATGATTAAAAATAAATGACCATGAGTTCATGGACCTACTTGATTAACAGAAGGAGGAATGGTAGCAAATGAGAGTAGATCTTCAAGTTTCTTGCAAGTGAAGTTGCTAACTCCTATAGATTTTGCAAGGCCTAGTTTGTGGCATTCTTCCATTGCTATCCACACACCCTTTAAGTCAAATGTAGTTATTAACTCTTCAGTGTATGGAATTTCCCAATCTCCAGGCTTCACACTGATGGGCCAATGGATCAAATAAAGGTCCAAATATTCTAATTTCAGCCTCCTGCATTATGCCATCAATTCAGCATTGTATTCTCAAGTTGCTTAAGTAACAATCAATCTATCAGTAAATACATTCATTCATTACTCTAACAACAAAGGTATTTTAACACAAATGCTTGGATATGGGAACTGGATCATAAGCAGTTCCATTTTGAATTGCACTGTTTGTATTAAAATTTAAATTGCGCTCACAGTAGAGGTTTTGTCATGCACTCGTGTTTCTTGATATTGTGAAAAATTGCATACAAATGCAAGTGAGAAAGCCAAAATTGTGACCCCAAACATCCCTAAAATCATTGATGTTGTAGTCAAAAATCGCCATCACAATCCTTTTTTTTTTTTTTTTTACATTTACAGATAAAAAGAAAAAGAAATAATTGAGGGTGAGGATCCCCAAATAACTGCAAAGTCCTTAGTCTTGTGGTCCCTTTCATCTACAGAAACACATTATATAGTTTGTATATGTAGCTATTCGATTTTAGGGTATCTCCAACGACATTTGCATTTTAATTAGTAACTCTATAAGTAATTCTTTGAGCAATACAATTTTTTTTCTTCAGAACAAGCCTTTTTGAATACAAGTTTAAACATGATTTTAAAGTGTTTCTACTAAAACTAACTCTTTATTTTCAGAAGAAAATGTCTAATTTATATTCAAATAGGTGGTTAATAACAAAGGGCAAGGTGTTAAGAAGAACAACTACAACTTTCTAATTTTATGTGGTCCCAAGAGTTTTTTTTTATCTGTATTCATGTAGATATTGCAGTATTATTAAACTTGGACCATACCTGTCAGTGGATCCATGGTTGGGCCACGCTCATGTAATTCTTATTACATGTTGCTGCTGGCACGCTTTTCTATGTTGCATGTTCATGACTCACGGGAAAGTGTAAAAGCAGAACAAATTAATTTTAGATTCTAAACTGTTATGTGGTTAGTCACATGAAATGTATTGTGACCACCACTCTTTGCTTAAAACACACATTTTTAGAGTTTCAACTTTCAACGTTTTGCTTCACAAACAGAAATCAAACTTAAATTAATCATGACAGTGATTACAGAGAAAATATCAAACTAAAACTATATTACTTTTAGTGAAAATCATGAATTAATTGGGTATTTTCTTTTACAAAGCATACCCACCCTTAACTTTACCACACTATGCTGATTTAAATCATGCAACAGATTCTATACTATGCTTTATTAGTAGAATTTGAAAAAAAAAAAAAACTGGTGTACTATCCACTAAAAGATATAGTTAGTATATCATTAAAAGTATATACTAATGTATTATTTTCACACCATTTAAAAAACTATTACTACCTTCAACTATTGATACGTATGCAAAATGTAACCATGAATATGGAAGAGGTCAAGAGGGAATACAAGTAGTGAAAATATATTTATGGGATCCACAAAAGATGGTCACAGGAAGCTAGCTAGAGAACAAATCTAATTACAAAGTATTCACTAACAACTACTCGTTGTGTCATCCAATTGATCCAGCTAAATAACTACTTAACTGTTGCGTGCATATGCAGCATGTTCTGTTCAACATGCTTTGATCATAGAACTCTCAATATCTATGTCTTTTATAAGAAACATGTCCGACTGAAATTGAAGAGTAATTTCTGTTCACATGTAACTTATCAAAATAAAACATATTCTCAGGACCAAATTATCTAAAACATTGGATAGAGTTAGAAATTAAAGAATTGGTCGCATCCAACATATTTTTGGGGTTTGAATGGTAAATAAACTATAGACCAACTTGATGATGATGCACTGAAATGAAATTTGATAATAATACAAAAAACATAAAAAAAAAATCACAAATGTCAAATGATGTTCATATTTCCAGAACATTATTAAATTACTAATTAAAATAATCATAATCACAAATGAAAACCCACATGATATCTTCTGATCTAAAAAAGATGCACATAGTCTCGGATTCAAATCTTGTTGGTTTCATTATAATTTTAAAAAATGTAAAAAAAAAAGTAAAAGTTTGCTTACTGAAGTGATTTCTGTAGAGCAGGAAGAACAAGATGAGGAAAATTGTCTGTGAGCCAAAGCTTTGTGGTGATGAAGAGCTCCTCTCTGGACTTTATGAGACCAAGATGAAGAGCTTCAGATATGGCTTCTCCCAAGGCCTCTTCAGATCCATAGATTGATGCAGTGTCAAAGTGCCTGTAGCCAAGTTTGATGGCTTCTATTACTGCCACTTTGGTGGTTTCTCCACTGCTTCTGTTAGTATCTGCTGCAGTTCCCAGTGCTATCACTGGCATGCTGCATTTGTTGGAGGAGGATTTAAGCACCACTTGGGGGATTTCGGTACCAGACATGATGATGCTTTAACACTCACACCTTGCACTATTTGCTTTACCTTCTAAGTTCTAAGTTGAAACATATGCTTGGTGAGCAACTTGGGTATTTTGCATCTCTTTATATAGAAAGAGGATTCTGTCCAAGATATCTCTTATAAATTATAATAACCATTTTGATGATACACAATTGTACTATTTTATTATTAAAAAATTTAAAATATTAATATTTTTATCAAATATTAGTATTTTTATCAAATATTAATATTTTTATAAAATATTAATATTTTTTAACACAACCTTAAAATTCAAAGATAAACTACAGTATTAATTAATTCCACATACTTTTATTATTTAATTTAATTTTAATAAAATATGAATTATTTTAATCTCACTAATATTTATATAAGAGAAATTATTTAGGATAAAACTTACATTAATCAAGTACCATGTTTATTGTTTCTTAATTAGAAATTGAGTTTTATGTAAAAAAAATTAATAAAAAGAAAATTTGTCTCAAAATATGTTATTTTAATTTTTAGAGTAGTATTTTTTTCATTTAGTATTATTTCTCATTTTTATTTGAAAAATTAAATAAGGATAGTTTTATAAAATTATCATTTCTTTCATTTATTTATCACTTTTTTTAATCCTTGTAAAACACTGAACTTAAATTGATAATTATTTTAAAAAAGAGAATATAATTTTTTGATAATATAATAATTTTTTTATGTTGATGGTTTATAAAAGTTAAATTCTTAAAAATATAAAAAAAAATATCATGAACTCTCCTTGATGTATACATAAAAAAGAAATAAAAGAAAAGAAATATAAGTTTATTATTCTAAATTTTTATCATTTTGAGTCAATTTAATTGAATACGTGAACTTTTATTTATCCAAAATAAATGAGAGAATTTATTAATATGTAATCACTAATCAATAAATAAATAAATAAATATATATATATATATGAAAAACGAAAGATATTTTTATAAGAAAAAATATTACTTATTTATTTATAATAGATTATAATTATTTATTCAATAAAAAATAAAGTTTTTTTTTACAGGATAACTAATAATGCTTCAATTATTTTCAAACAATATTATTGATAAATAATTATGTTTTATAAAAATTTAAAATAAGAATTTTTCATAAATGAATCCGCAATTTTAAAAAGTGAGGTAAGCTCTAATCCCAACAAATTGAGATTGTACTTATAAGTTGTAACGGTGCCAGCCCGTAGCATTGTACATATCGCCTTTCATGTATGAATTTAGAATATATTGTCGTCTAAGTTCTTAAAATTAAAAAGTTCTCAATTAAAGTTTTAAAATGTTTAACTAGTTTTTAAATTTAATTATTTATTACTATTATTATCATTATTTTATTTTTACATTTTAATATTATTATTTTAGTCATACACTATTTTAAACTTTAAATTAATATAATTATAAATTTTTATTTTAAAAAAAATATATCTGACAATTTTTTTTAGTTTTATAAATTAATATATTATTGTTTTCTAAATTTAATGATCAATTTAAATATTTATTCAATTAATTTTGTTTGTCACTTTAGGCGTGCAAGTAGGTACAGGTAATTTGTAAACTTGATATAATAATAATAATAATAATAATAATAATAATAATAAGAATAATAATAATAATAATAATAATAATAATAATAATAATAATAAGTTAGTTAGTGTTTGGATGATCATTGACTTAAAGTAATATTTTTTATCATTTTTGTTCAGTAATGAGTTTTGTATTTTTTTTATTGATAATATTATAACAATATAATATATTTTTTAAAATTTTATTTTGTATTAATGTTGATTGTTTAAGCCGATAACAATAGCAAATTAACAAATTAATTTTAAAGCTTAGTTTGTATCATTATTTTTTTTAATGAATTTATAACATTGCATTTGTAACATAATATCAAATAATTTACATTTATTATAAAACTAAACTGATTAAATTTTGATTAAGTTGAATAACAAATTTATTTAAAACCGACTCAACCTAACTCGCTTGCACCTAGTATATGAAACATGTAATGATAAACATTGTTTTAATGTCTCAAAACAAAACTTGAAAATAATAAAATCATTTTTTGTTTTTATTAACAAGATATGCAAAATTATTTTGGTGTTGAAATTGCTATTTATTAAATTTCGTCAATTTCTTTTACAAAAGCTTTGATACAATTTTTCACAATTTAAAATTTTTCTAACGTGTATTATTCATTTTATTGAAATGTGATTGAAGGACTATAATTTACTTAATTGTGAAAAATTGAGATAATATAAATTTGATTATAAATTTAAACTCTATTATTATTATTATTATTATTATTATTATTATTTTATGGTTAGAAAAATAAAATGTCATTCATTTAATTTTTAAATATTAAATAATTATATTTTGTATCTAGTTTCTTTCTATCTAGTTTTAGATTCATTTTGTGTGTTTATTTTTTTATAAAGCATGACATTATATATGATTTTTTTATTTTTTTATTTTTTTTATTTTCTAAAGCATCAAATATTCATTTGTTGATGACATAGTGTCTACTATTGGGCCTATCACAAAAGCAATGTCAAGGATGATATAAGAATACTAAACTCGTGATAAAGATAGAAAACCTATGATCTTATTGGGTTATAGGTTTGTCTCTTGGCCTATTTTCTCTTTGTGTATATTCTTACCATTGTAAATAATTTTCTTACTTAGACCTTTTTATTTTGGTCATGTATCATAGGTATTTTTATCCCTGTATTTGCTTTTAGCTAGAGAGCGTAAATAGTAATTTAGAGGAGTATAACTAGAAAAAAAAAACCATTGGTTTATGTTGGGCTTGGATGGGCCAAATTGTCTTTCACTCCATGTACATAGACGTTCACTTGCCTTGCCTTGTGCAAGTGGCTTGGACGTCCAAGACATGTGGGGACCACCTGTCCTCTTGTCCATCCAAGCAAGCCAACATGTTACATGATGGCTCTTCTAGACCTAGGATGGTGACATGAGTTACATTTTTCTTACTTGTCCATATAACAAGCTTTAATTGACCATTTTATATCTAAGATAGTGACATGGAAGCTTGTATTGGTCAAAGGTCTCCTACATTTTACTATGATAAACAAATCTTTGACAAAAACGCACCTTTAGCACTAGCAACAAGTCTTACTAAAAATAACATATCATTTGAGTGCACAAATTTTTTTCTTAAAAAATTTTCCAAAGGCAATCTCTTTTGTCTATTATAAAAAATGACTAGATCTGTATTGAAAAATTCTCTCTTTTCAAAAATGTGTTTGTCACCATAAAAAGGAGAAGATTATTAGGTCAAAAGACAATCTTAGATCCCTCAAGTTAATAAGTTTTAATGATAATAAACATGAATATTTTTATAGAGAGAATTTTTTCATATCATTCATTAAGACGAATGAGTGTAAGATGAACTCACTAAGATGATTAGTTATTTTGACATCAATTATCTAACAAATAAAACATTTCATATGTAAGACATTTATTTTGAATTTATATCATTTATGATGTCTCATAACTAAGTTAACCTTTGTGTATATGATTCCTTAACAAATCAAAGTAAAATAGATTTCATGGTACTCACAATAACAAAAGAGAAGGAAGACATGTTTTTTAACAGAAAAAGACAAGTGAATCCCTTGAGTCAAAAAAATCCTCAGAAAAATCTATTTTGAATTGACACATGTATGACTTCACATGTTTGCTACATAAAAGATGATAAGTAATTTCCTTAATCAAATAAGAAGTGACAATTTGGTGAAACGCATTTAATGCAAGCAATTAATGTACCAATAGACACCTCTCTCCACAAGGAACAAAAATTGAAGAAAGATAAAGCAAATACGTGAGAGACGCTCAAGGATTTGCAACAATCATCTTCATTGAAGCACCTATATAAGGAAGTTTGAAGAATCAACAAGATGTAGAGGAGTACACATATTGTAAAATTATATTCATTCTTTATGTAAAGCCTTATAATTAATATTATAGTATCATATCTTGCAAGTAAGATGAACAATATAGTTATCTTACCCTACTTTAACTTTATTATTTCTTTGAGCCTGGAAAGGCTTGTCAATTAAAAAAAAAACTTTGTTGATTTGAGCTTGAAAAAACTTGTTAGTAAAAGAATACTTGGTTATTTTGATCTTAAAGATGTTTGTCTATAAAAGAATATTTGGTTGTTTAAAGCTTGGAAAGTCTTTTTGATAAAGAATACTTGGGTTACTTGAAGAGATAAGTCAAAGAATACTTAGGTTGAGTCATAAGTGTCTTGTGAAAAAATACTTGTATCTTTGTAAAAAATAGTGAAATTTGATCGGGTTTAATCAAGAATTGGATGTGCTCTCTAGTGGAATTTGATCGGTTTTAATCAAGAACTGGATGTACTCTCTATGGTTGAGACTAACTACTATAAAAATACTTTGTGTTCTTCTAACTTACTTTTTCCTGTGCACTCCTACAATTTTGCTACTATTTTACTATTTCAAAAAAGTGTGAACTTTTAATTGATACTATTCAACCCATTTCTAGTGACTTTCTTGTCTTCACAAAGAATAACATCAGCATGTAAACCCACTATAAAATTGCACAAATGCTTGAATTGTGACTAAAGTTCTGCACTTGACCCTATTGGTAGAGTTTATGATGTTTTGCTAGAGGTTTTCAAATGTAAAGAGGCTAAAATAAAGCTCCGATGAATGGAGAAAGGTAAAGAAATTTGTGAGATGATTGTTGTGGAACATCCATTTATACTATCTCAAAGCTTCACCACACATGTAAAAAGCTTGCCAAATGCACATGTTGATCCCACGCAATCCTGTAATACTGAAAAAATTTGATCTACCTGAAAAATCTTGTTAAGTCAAAAGACAATTTTATATCCCTCATGTTTTATAAGTTTTAATGATAACAAACACTACATTTTTTAGTAAGAAAATGTGTTGTAAAAGTCATTGTTTTGGACTATGTAAGACGAAGTAGCATATGTAAGACAAAGAAAATCAGACGAAACATACAATGTATTCCAAACTATCACTATTTATTGTGATGGACAATTTTAAATGTTAAAATGAATGATTTATACCTTAATAGATCAAAATTTGTTGTCTTAGAACTCACATTTTGTTAAAAGTGTATAAAAGTATAAAGAGTAGCAGAATAAAGGACAAAATCTCAGATTTCACGAATAGAAGGTGTGGAAGAAAGAAAGAAAGATCCTAGAACCCCCGTTTTCCAGCTAAATCTTGGACTCTTTCCTTGCTCTGTAATTTTTTCTCAAGTCTTTGTGATTCTCCCTCTGTTTCTACTCTTTAGTCCTTATATATGTGTAGCAAATAAAATAGAGTATGGAAGAGAGAGAGTAAACTGCTTAGCCTTTTCCAAATGACAGAGTAATTTGAAGGATTCTTCATGGTGAAACAACTTCAATGACTAAGCCCTTTTGAATCCATTGAGCCTTGGAAAGCCAAAAATATGCACCCCTCTGGATCGAATTCGCTCAACCCTTTTCCAAACAGTTGAGCAGTTTGACCTTTGCTTCAAATCTTACTTTCTGCCTCTAAAAGGCTCAACCCTTTTGAAATGGCTAAACCCTAAACCCTATATAAGAGGTGGTCTCGAAAGGAAAGTGGTGCACCATCTCTCTTTCTCAGAATGTTCTTCGTTTGTCTCATCTTTTATTTGCATATAATGTCATCTTATTCTGTAGGGTGTCTAAGAATCAAGGTAGAATAGTAGCCAATGCCTAATTTGATTTCTACATTTCCTTTGGGCTTAAGGATAATTAGGAGAAATGTTGTTTTATTTGTTCTTAGGGTGTCTTCCAAAGCAATCAAGAAGAGGTTTCTAGCATCCTTAGTATCAAGAGCACCCTTAATGTTGGTAAGTATCAATTAACTTACTCATAGAGTGAGTGAACAAGGCTATGTTTGAAGATGTGGTGGGTAAAGTCTAATCTCGATTGGTGTCCTAGAATGACAAGTTGTTAAATTGAGCTAGTAAATTATAAAATCACATATATAAAGTGACACCTTTATTACCTTTGAATACTCTCCTTTCTATGTGCAACCCAAAAAAAATGTACTGTCTATTTATATAATACTATTAGATATTATATTTTCTAATAATATTGATATTGATAAAAAAAAAATCACCTACCACAATAATTACCAATATCAATATTATTAAATTTTATAATAATATGTAAATAGACAATAAATAAACACTATACTTTTCTGGGTTGCACATAAAAAGGAGAGTATTCTAGGACAAATTAGGGTGTCACTTTATATATGTGCATTTTTTGACCAACTTAGTCTTGCCATCCATTCTCATTTATAACATGCAAACTTTGTGGCTTTTATGTTTAGGTTTCTCTATGTTTGATCAATGTACACAATCTATGCTCTAGTAATCCAAGACTACAACTAGGTGTTGGAATTTAGCTTCTTAGCATTTATTTCTCTTCGCAAGCTCCTTGAGGGTCTCGGGATTTGAGATTCTTGTGATGCCAACATTCCACTCCTTGAGAAGCTGGTATGGCACCTCCTTCAAGGTTGTAATAAACATTGGGTTCAGGTGTTAAGCTCAATCTATCTTTAGGATAGTTCCATTATTTTTATTGATGTCAAACTTGGGGCTTCTTATGATTGGCATAGTATTATTAAACCTTGAGATGCTCTTCATGTTAGGTTTTAACCTCGTCTTTTAGAACAAATTATTCATCTTTTTGGTTCTCTAACTGATTGGGTTAGAGACAACTTTGCACGTATATTTCCTATGTGCATATTGTTGACTCTTTGTTGCAGGTTTCAAATTTTTGGGTTAACACGAAATGAGATGTACCCTCCCTATGGGGTATGCTTCCTAAAAGTATAATCCAAAGAGTTTGTGCCATAGAAGTTCCCTCATTCCCTTTAGGATTGAATGTGATTAGTTGGAAAGGTAATGACTCAAGTATCTATTTTGCAAGCTTTAGTTACATCTGGCTTTGATAGTTTCATGAGTTGGTGAAAGATTTGACTTAAAGGAGGATTTGGAAATCATAACTACCTAAGAAAATTTAGTTCTTCATTTGACAAATTTGTGAAGATGCCCTTGCTACCAATGATAAGAGACAACAAAGCCATCTCTTCGAGAATAATCTTTGTCCATAATGTTCTTCCCTGCTAAAGACAATAATGCATGTCTTTAGAGATTATCCTTATAGTGTTATTTTTTTATGTTTATTGTATTTGATTTTTCATTTATATCAATAATTAAGGGAAACAAATACTTCCTCCGTTTTTTTTTCATAGTCGTTTTGTCAAAATTTGTTATTTTTTTTTCATTGTCATATTACTAAAATCAATAAGTTATTAATTTTTTTCTTCCATTTTTACCCTTGATAATTAATACATGTTTCCTGAAAAATGTGTGTATTTATTTTTAATATCTACCTAATTTTTCTCTAACTACTCATATAAAGTTAATGTGCATTTATAAGAGCAATATGTTCCCAACAAAATACTATAAAAAAACAAAAAAAAGTGACAACTATTTAATGGAGTAGTTCAACAGTCTAAAAAATGCAAAAAAAAGAAGGGTAAAATAGGAAAGTAAGTAATAAATATTTTTGAAAACTAAAATATCAATGATTTCCTTAATTCCCGTGCAAAACCTTAAACGACTATGAAAAAAAAACGGAGGGAGTATATTTTTTTTTCTCTCTCTATATTTTAATTTTTAGTAAAAATAAATTAAATTGATAGATTACTAATGCAAAAAAAAAAAAAAAAGTTGTTGATTGATTACTAATTGTCAAAGGAAATTAAACAGACTATACTTCACACGCACCTCAAGAAAACGAAAGCCGGTCTTCCCGGTCCGTGAAAGAAACGCGACCGAAAGGGGAAAAAAAAAACCGAACCCCTTTTTTTTTCACTATTTTGCGCCTACAAATATGAAAATCCGTTCCCTGATTTTTGTTGCACCTTCCTCTGCCGCCTCTCTCTCCGCATCCCAAACTCTTTGTTTCGAAAGTTGAAAACGTTGTCAACGAGAGAAGACACAAGTTGAACCCTTCAACACATGCTTGCCACCTCAAAATAGACCAAACAAGCCTTGTTCTTTTCTGCACACACCACCACCACCACCACCCACCAACTTCTTTCAGCTATTACTATAAGCCTAAGGTAACGTTAACATCAACATTGTTGCTCTCAACCCCTCAAAGGCCTCACCTTTTTAGGCAATGCGATCTGGGTCGTTCTCCTTTGATCCACCCTTGTTTCATTGCCCCTTCTCTGTCTTTTTCTTCTCTTTTCTCTGTCTTTTTCTCATTGGGTAATTTTCACAGAGTTTTATAATGTGGGATCAGAGGGATATGAGTAAAAGTCAAGTCTCGATAATTCTTTTCATACATGTTTGGGATCAGAAAGATTTTAGCCGCAAGCTTTCTTTTTGTTGATGAACTGTATGAAAAATCTCATTCGGTTGTGTTTATAACAATGCAAACTTTTATGTATATGGGTAGATCCCTCGTGGGATTGATTTCTGTTTATGTGTATTGATCAGGGTTGGATTCTGGCAAGGATTTCTCCATGGTAAGCACTGAGGAACCTTTTTTCTTTGGTGGATTTGAATGAATGGTTGCAAAATGAGGAATGCGGTTAGCTTGTGATATTGGATCAAGGTGGGATTTTGATTTGATGTGTAACCCCTTTTTTTGGTTGTGATCAATAGGGAGAAGCACCTGTTTTCATTGTTCAAGACCTGCAGAAAGGAAGTAGCAATGGCCTTGAATCAAAAAGTGGGGCTTTGGAAACTGCTACTATCGTTGGTGATAAAAAGGTATTGAATATTGATCATACAGTATGCTATGCACGTCATCCTTCAAAGTGTTCCTATTTATTAATTTGATTTAAACTCTATCAATCTTCTGTCTAAAACATAAGATGGACCTCCATTTGTTTGCCAGTTTGTCATTGGTGGAACCGAGGGTGAAACATTTTCTGTTAAAGTTCAAATTCTTGGAGAATGGTAAGTTTATTGTCCCTTATCTCATTGCTTTCTCTCTCTCTCTCTCTGTCTCGCTCTCTCTCTCTCTCTATATCTCTCTTAATTCTGTTGCTGACATCAATTTTAATGTGAAGGGTTAATGTCGTTGAGCTAGGCACCAAACCCATTTCATGTAATGGCCACTCAGCTGTGCTTCTGAAAGACCGAATACTAATTCTCAAGAAAAATTCTAAGCCAGATGATTGTATATGGTTTTTGGAGGTTTGTGTTTTCAAACCCTGGTCCTTAATCTAATGCAAAGAACTATTATTGCTTGGAAAATCTAAAAAATATTTGATTACCATTTTGGCTGGATCGGTGTTAAATGTTTCCATTTTGTTAATTAATATTGGCAGGTAGACACTCAATATGTAAGGATGCAGAAGAAGCTTTTGGGGACCGAGGTTGTAGCATGGAGTAAGGGTGTGATGGGAAATGCTGAGAAACCTGTTATTATCAGTGGTCCTTCTGGAGTAGGTAAAGGAACATTGATATCAATGCTCATGAAGGAATTTCCCTCTATGTTTGGTTTCTCTGTGAGCCACACAACCCGTGCACCAAGAAGCATGGAGAAAGATGGGGTCCATTACCATTTTACTCAGAAAAGTGTTATGGAGAAAGAAATTAAAGATGGAAAGTTTCTGGAGTTTGCTTCTGTCCATGGTAATCTTTATGGGACCAGTGTTGAGGCTGTGGAGCTGGTATCAGATGCCGGGAAAGTAAGTTCCTCACACTCATTGTCCTGAAATTTTTTGAATTTTAAACTTGTCTTATGCTATACTTGTAAAATTATACAAATCAATCTCTCTCTGAAGATGCCTTGCTTTTATTGTTTCTTGTTTCAATGAAGACCCTCAAATAATAATTAGGCTTCATCAAAGTACTCTTAGCAATCTATTGATTTTTACAATGCCCTTGTCAAAAAGCATAGCATAGCAGAATGTCATGTTGAATTGCCACTGATGCACACTGATAAATTTTAATACAACATATTGTGGAAATGAAGATAATTCTATCAAATATAACACACTCCCCACCCCTGCCCCCACTCACCGTAAATTCTATCTTAAAGGCATATGTTGTGAATATTCTCACAAAATATCCAAGCAAAATCAAACTGTTAAAATGCATCATTGTTTTGTGGTCTTGCCTTTTGATGGTAATGAAATTGAATTTTCTGTTTGATGATTACGGGTGCAATCATATCCATGTATCCTTGTGAGCATTACTTACTTTCCTTCAGGTATGACTTGAACTCTTTTGTCATCTCAGATACTGAAACTTTATTTTTTACATTTTGTTCAGAGATGTATTCTTGATATTGATGTTCAAGGGGCAAGATCTGTGAGGGCTAGTTCTCTAGAAGCCATGTTCATCTTTGTCTGCCCCCCATCAATGGAAGAGCTGGAGAAGCGTCTTCGTGACCGGTGAGTTATAGCTTCTTACACGTGCCCCTTTAACTGTCAAAATCCCCCACAATGTTGCTCTAAGGACTCAAAATCTTATGTTATGAGCAGAGGGACAGAGACAGAAGAACAGGTCCTAAAGCGGTTACGAAATGCTCAGAATGAGATTGAGCAAGGGAAGTCATCAGGCATATTTGATCACATCTTATACAATGACAAACTTGAGGAGTGTTATGTGTCTCTGAAGGTAACTATTAAGTTTTACAATGACACACGTACTTCCTTACATGAACTCAGTTTTCTTCAACTGTTAAGCTTAATTTAAAACATTCATTGGTGCAGAAATTATTGGGACTTCATGGTTGTGTCACTCCTCCTCCCAAGTCAGGTATGAGGTTTCCTAAAGCAGATAAATTTGTCCTAGATTCACATAATGTTATAGCAACATGAAATTAAATTGGTATGTTTAATTTTTATCAATCCAGCACCAAAAGAGATCATCAAAATCCCAAAAGATCATTCAGTCTCAAAAATTGATGACAAAATCATCATAAACTGCATCTCTTCAGAACTACAAAAGGAATCAAAGAACTTGTAAGTCTTGTTATACGCATTTATTTATGAACTTGCCTCCAATGGGAGTAATTTCAATCATTGATGAGAAAAACGAATTATTTAACATTACGTGCATGATTTATTATGCATGTGCATGCAACATTAATTGTTAATTTTCTTATCAATGGCCGAGATTACTCACTTCAGAGGAGTCAGATCCTTATTTTAGCAATCAAGGACGACATTATGTGCTGACTTTGTATTCGGCTTAACAGGATCATGTTAGATGTCTTCTCACTTAAAGGGGGTGCACCTGGACGAACAAGAGGACTTGATTTTAAAGTCATTGACTCGTTTTCAAATGGCAATAGGAATGGACCAATGTGACATTCAATGATCAATGAACTTGGTTAAAACTAACATGGTTTTTCTCCATTCATTTACAATTATTTGAGAAAATAGGCCAGGGATGAGAATTTAGGTTCATTTCTTGAGTTTTTTTTTTTTTTCTCTTTCTGGTTGGTCGTTATGACAGTTCAATTTGACATGACTTATTTGAAACAATTATTTTTCCATACAGTCAATGAGAAATTATTGGTGATTTTTGCGGCTAAAATAGTATATTCCATCATCAACGAAGGCAAAGGTTGTTATCCAGAAAATTGTGTGTAAATCAATTAGTACACAAACTATTTGATATCTCAACAAATCACGTGGAGGAGTAATGCCCTTTAATTGGAGGTCCATATTTAGCTACCCTCAAGAGATATTCACGTATACGTGTACACAAAATTTGTAGGCCAATTAATAAACCGACATGGGGAAAATGTTTTTAATTATCTAGTGTCGGTTATCTTTTAAGAGAAATTCTATGGTACCCATCTTATTTGAGAGGGTACCGGTACAGTTTTTTATATTTTATATTTTTAGTAATTTATTTAAATAATATTTATGATATTTTATTTTTTTAATTTTTAAATTATTTAGTCATTTTATTTTTATTTTATATATTTTAATTTATTTGTAATAATATTATTATATATTTAAATAGTTTTATTTTAATAATTTTTTAAGTATATTTTTATCTTTTCACTTAAATTTTTTGAATTTTTATATTTTAATTTTAATAATTTTTTAAGTATATTTTTTGTTTTTTTGTCTTAAATTTTTGAATTTCTATATTGTAATTTTAATAACTTTTTATTTCTACTATTTATTAATTTTTTTTTCTTTAATATTTTATAATATTATTGAAAACTTATAATTTTAATCTCTATAATTTTATCTTACATTTTATTTTATAAGTATAATTTAGATTATTTATTTTATAATTAAATTAATTTTTTTAAAAATTTTTATGAGTTTACATAGAAAAATGTATTGAAACCCTTCCATCTTTGAGGGTACCGTAGCAACTCCCATCTTTTAAAAGGTTAGTAAATGTTCTCAAAGCCACGTAAGGTAAATGTTAACCAATGATTTTAGGAGTAAAGGAATCAGAAATGTGTTTTTATTATTAAAAAAAAATGTATTATGTACTTATCATAATTTTTTGATGCATAACTAACAATTTTTAATAAAAGTTTTCTGTCGTTGATTTTTTTTTTTTAATAAAAAAACATGTTGATTTCTTAAGTAATGTAAAAATAGTTTTTGTTAAAAATCAAGGGAAATAAGCACTACCAATGTTAAATGTCACTTTTTTATTTATTAACTTTTTCTACCTTTTATTCTCTAATCTTGCAACGGTTAATAAAATTATAGATATTTTTCTTACTGATATTTCTTTACTCGTAATCCTTAAAAGTCAAACTTTTAGTGAATCTATTTGAACTTTCAACTCATATATAAAAAATGAATCACTATGTTGGGCAAAAATAATTTGAGATTTTTCTTCAATAAAATAGTTTGTAGAATTATTTTAACTTTTTATCTAATTTAATTTTTATGTAGTATAACTATTTAATTAAATATTAATATTTTAAAATAAATTATTAATAAATAAAAATAATTTTTATGCTATAATATAAATTATTTATCACAAATCTAAAATATAATTTATATATTTACAAATATCAATTATACAAATTTTAAAAATAATTTATATATTCAAATATAACATTTATTTATATATATAACTTATTATCAATTTTAATTATATATAATAAATATGTCTGTATATTATACAAACTAAAATACTGATGTTTATTTTATCCACAAGATTCGAATATAAACTGTAACATATATAAATGTGATAATTTGATTTGGTGTATATATTTTTTTAAACGATTTTTTTCTTAAATTTTTCTTACAAACATTATATTCAAATTTAAGACCTTAAAATTTAAAAATCAAACACAACACTAATTAATTTAACAAATATAAATAATTTTTAAATATTTTTATTAAATAAAATATAAACATACAAAACCTTACTATTAATTTATTTAAAGAAATTGATTTTAATTTAAGTGGAACCCATTTTGGTGTTAGTATTTGTAGCAACATAGTGCGTGTTTGGTTTCACGTTTAAAACGTAAAAAATCATATTTAACGTGGAAACTACAACGTTAAACGTGATTTTTTCACGTTTCAAACGTGAAACTAAACACAAGCGTAACTATACAAATTTTTGATAAGTGCTTCATCCACGCCTCCAACGGTCGACACTAATCAGTTAGTCCTGATTCCTGAGGTGGCAGAGTGTGCACCTCAAGTCTGGCATGTTATTTTTTACAGAGCAGTTAGGCCTAAATTTTATTTGGTCCATATGTGTATGATACAAGTACAATGGTAGGTCTGAGTCCCACCAAAGGTGACACACATTGAAGTCGAAAATTGAAGATTGGTGGCTTAGAGTGAACGTGAAAAGGTGAAAATGAGAAAGGCTCATGGGGTAGGTGAGGATGCAACTTGCAAATTTGGGGGACCCATAAGGAAACTGCTTCACAGAAAGCAAGTTGGAAAATCAGAATTGTCCTCCCCTCTCTGCTAGCTTGTACAGCCTTCACAACTCACATCTCTTGTGGTGGGTTCTACAATTCACATGCTTCTTTAGGAATGGCATGTACATTTTGATTTAGGAAAGAATATAAAATAAATATAAATTTGTAGGCTATTTATTAAGAAAAAAAGGATATCTATATATACATATATAAAGTGATACTAATATCTTTAATGAATAAAAATATACCAATCTAGAGGTGC